TCTCTCTCTCTCTCTCTCTCTCTCTCTCTCTCTCTCTCTCTCTCTCTCTCTCTCTCTGTGTATATTTCCATTTTTTACCGGAAGTACCATGAGGCCAGCGGTGCGGACGGTGGCAGGCGGCCTTATGACCTAACGTTGTACAACCACCTACCGTCCCACGAGATTCTGTTGCCTCCAAGTGAAGACGACGCCGACGAACCTCGATCCTCGACGGTTCCTCTGGGCAGCGSTTCGACGCAGGAGTGGATGGGGAGCCAGTTGTACAGACGGCCAACGACACCAACGTAAACATAGTTGCCGGAGGGATGGACCCCGGCTGAACCACTTAAAGCACCTATCGGCCGAGCCATTCCAAGCACCTACGGACCGAGCCAGGTCAAACACCTTAAGCCACTCCAAGCACTAATCGACCGAGCCACTTCAAACACCTATCGCCCCCACCACTCTCGACTCACGAAAAGTTTCGTGAGTCCTTCGAGAGCTGTCAGACGTGCAAAACTCTCGAAAAAAAAGTCTTGGCTCCACTTACTCTAGAAGGGTTTGCTCGAGATGCAGTGGCGGAATGAGGGCACGCTCACACTGGGTACCAAAATTGTAGAACTCCTAAAAAAATGTGCACACGGCTGGCCACACACAATGGTTCCGACCCCAAACACCCCATTCGCAAACCCATTTGTCAGCGGCCTGCCTGGCCGCGGGTTTGAGGAATTTGCGGTAACCTCCAGAGGTTACCGCAAAATCCTTATTCTTTTTTATTTAATTTTCGTAAATGAATGCAAAGTTGAAAAGAGAACATGTACGTTCTATATTTGGGGTTACTTCTGTGTGACTGGAAACCCCAAACAGCAGCACCCTGATGGCACGGTAGCGACTGTGTCTTTAGCAAAATGGGAATGCGGTGTGAACGCAGTGTGACCTGAAACGTCCCATATACCCCAATTCGGCCCAACCCATTTTCGCAATTTATACGGATTTGCTACCGCAGTGTGAGCGTGCCCTGAGAGGAGCTCTCTGACTGCATTAAAAAAGACAGCGCCGCCCTGTTCTGATGGTCGGGACACAAGGCGCACTCACGAAAAAATGGTCGGAGTGGGGTTACGAGGGAGGACACTGGAAAAGCATGCCGTCGCAGGCTGGGCACTCTAGACACTTCGAGAGTTCCTTCGAGAGTGCTTTCTGACAGCTCTCGAAGGGCGTTTTCGAGAGCACCTGTCTAGAGTGAGTGGAGCGAGGCCTTAGGGCGTGGCTGCACTACTCTCGAAATGTGCAAAACAAGAGTGAATATCCCGCTAGAATATGGAAAGTTACATGGCCGTGATTTTGGTCTTTTGTGCATTTCAAGAGTAGTGCAGCGAGGCCCTTACTCTACTCTCAAAATTTCGAGAGTATAGAGTAGTGGACAGAGACCCTCACTCTCGATGTCTCGCTCCACTACTCTAGACTCAAGAAAAAATTCGTGAGTGCTTCTAGAACTGTCAGAGGTCTAGAGCTCATGAAAAAGGAGGCATCGCTCCACTTACTCCAGACTCAAGAACTAAAGAAACACTCACGAATTTCTCAGCGCTACATGACAGCCCTTCTACAGCGCTACATGACAGCCCTTCTACAGCCCTACACGACAGCGCCAGCTCGCTCTAACGGCAGGAGGCACACTCATGAAAAAAAGAGGCCGGAGCGACCGCAGGAGGGAGGACGCTGGAAATCGTGAGCATCGCAGGCTGTGAACTCTATACTACTCTAGAGTGCCCTTCGAGAGCGCCTTCTGACAGCTCTCGAAGGGTGTTTTCACGAGTTAAACTCTAGAGTAAGTGGAGCGAGGCGTTACTCTCGAAATTTCGAGAGTCTAGAGTAGTGGAGCGAGACCCTGAATCTGACACTCTTGAATGGAATTTCAGGATGCGGCATCAAGAGTTAGGGCAGCGGTGATGAACTCTTGATTTCTCAAGATTCAAGAGTAGTGCAGCGAGGCCCATAATCTGTACACCATCCCCCCATCTCTCTCTCTCTCTCTCTCTCTCTCTCCATCGTCAGTTGTCAGGTTGGCGGGACAAGGCAACTCCATCGCAAAAGCATACTCTCACCCACTGCTATAGTCGTGCACTGGCTGGCGCTTCTCGACTAGACTCCTATGTTGCACACGAGATTACACGTCGAAGTTCCGTTACGTAAGCTGCCCCATTGAAAGTACCTTACAGCCCGCCCGCCTTTGCACCCCCGTTCTCTCTCTCTCTCTCTCTCTCTCTCTCTCTCTCTCTCTCTCTCTCTCTCTCTCTCTCTCTCTCTCTCTCTCTCTCTCTCT